GAACTAGATGACGAAAAATCAGAAATTTAACATTGAAAAGAACATTGAAAAAGGAATTACAAGTTCATTGTTTAAGCTCTGGGAATTCTAGTTGCTCAAGAAAAGGGAAAAAAAAACTCAAATTCAAAATCAGGTATCTGCAAAACAAAAAAATGAAACTGCTTGATAAGAGACCTAAAGAAATCGAATTGTAGATCTGACGAGTCTGTTTCCAAGCAACTAGTTGTAGAAGAAGAATGAAGTGCAGCAAGTAACTAGTAAAATGAATGAATGAATATGTGGGGGGGGGCAGATTTATAAAATGCTAAGAAAGCTTTTATATGTCTGTCAAGTGTGTGTATATTATTCATTTATGCTTATGCCTATGTTGGTTTCAATCTTGGAAATGACTATTGAAAATCCTCTCTTTCCTAATTTATAGACAAATCCTACAGATGCATGTTGGGATTTTTTCGTAGCCAATAAAAATGGACAATTCTCTGTCTTAATAACTTTTTTTTTCTTTTTCTTGCCTTCAAGTCAGAAAGCTATAACCACTTGATTGTATCCCTTTTGCATGTGAACACTATTTCTATTTTGTGAACTTTTTACTTTGTTTTATAGTTGCTTTGCCTTGCATAACATTGTCTTGTCTCGTATTGTGTTTTGCTTGTTTTTTTTTTTTTCTTCTTCCTCTTCATATTGTCATTGAGAATTTTATCGGTTCTAGTTAACCTTGCCTGCTTCTTCAATGACCTACCATTGCCTGTTCTTAGTTGTTATAGTTCAAATTTTTTTTTTTTTTTTTTTACCAGCAAGAGTTAATTTACTTGTAAAGCTAAATATAAATATTTGAATCTAATGGAACAAATTGGTTGTAATTGTTTTACATGATGAAAGTCCAGATCTCTTCCAACATAAATTTATTAACACTAAATAAACATTCAGCCTTTAGCACAAAGATAATGTGATATTTTATTGTAAAATTAGTTCCTGTAAGAATCAGTGTATCACTGTGTCTGCAATGACTTCAACTAAATGGAATCTTTTTAATACACATTTAGATAGATATGGTGGCTTTCTAAGTGTGGCTTAGATGTGGCACAGGGCTAAAAGTATAGGGTGGCCAGTGAAGATAAAATTCACAATTCAGTTGTAATTGATCTAGCAAGAAGAGCTTGCTAAGCATTTCACCATGTCAAAATACCCCACATTTAAATAGATATGACCATGAAATTTATAATTAAAATTTTATGCTTAGTTTTAATTGAAAGGAAAAAAAAGAAAACGCTAGTCATTAAAAAATACAAAGAAAAATACTTTTACACATGCACAAAAGTACTTTTCATGTGTAACAGGATATATATATATATATATATATATATATATATATATATATATATAGTGTGAATTATATGATCAGTTTTTTATTAAAAAAAAAAATATTTTTTTTTTTTTTTTTTTTTTTTTTTTTGAAGAGGTTAAAAATCATTTTTTTTTTTTTTGCATTTACAGTGACCAGTTGCACTATACTTAGAGGGGTTAAAATTCAGGGTTTACACTACATAAAGTCGGTGTATAGATAAGTATATATGACAAAACATTTTAATAATCTTTAAAAAAAAATTTGATTTAGCCCCAATATTATGCCAGATGACCTCTCAACAAAAAAAATATCAGTAAAAAAGAAATCCAATGGAAATTAGTTAATTTAACTAGCTTTACTGGGTATTGATAAACTAATACATTTTTCTGAAAATATATTGAAAAATATATTTATTTTTTTATTAAGCTGGAGGCTGTGTCTGTTAATATCCATCAAGACCTTGGGATCAAAAGGATAAAAAAAAAAAGAAATTTAAGATCTCATCATTTCACTAACAATGTATGGAAAACCAGAAATGACAAATGAAAACTGCAATCACAGTGTCAACACTGATAATTAACACGCTCATATGCTGAAAAAATATACTACTAAAAAAAAAAAAAGGTAAAAAGAAATGGTTATTATAACATTTATAGCTACCATAATATTTCACTGGCCTTGAATATTAAGGCATTATCATTACAGTTGAATAATGAAAATGATGAAACTGTTAATGTCTATCAAAACAGTTTGCTGGCCTATGAAGTACACATTCTGAAAATGCATTTTTAATTGATTTTCTTTTTAGCAAAAAAGCAAGAAGTTTGTTTTGTACCTAATTTCTTCAATTTATCATAAAAGTAAACTCATTTTGTCAGATCCTTCTAAGAGAATTTGATTTTTTTTTTTTTTTTTCGTGTTGTGTAAGAAAGCTGATTCCATATCAGCTGATTGCGTAATGTTTAATTAACAAAGGCAAATTGTAGAATTATTCCAAAAATAGAGTGGTGTATTATTTTGGGGTAATTCTTATAGTTCTAGATTTTAACACACTTATATAACTTTCATGGACATTGGAAGAATATAAATAAGAAAAAACTTTTTCTATTTTTTTTTCCCAGAACAATATTTTAAAATATTTAAATAAAATTCAACATTAATTTTTCTTTTTCTTTTTATATGCTGTAACAAAATAATTTTTTTTTGCAAATAAAACTAAAAAGTTGTTAAAAGTTCACTACTTGAGTTCATATTGTAGTATTAAGGAATTTCACAAAAGAATCTGAATTGTTTTAGATTCTAAAAGGATTTATCTTTTTACAATATTAATACCTTTTAGATTCTGAAAGATTTACCGAGATTTAAAATAAAGGAAGTAAGGGTGTGAAAAAAAATTATACATCCACAAATTCTTTTTATATTATCCCATTCATAAATAACTTTAGTACTCATTGAATAAATACTGAAAGTTGTTTTTTTTTTTTTTTTTTTTTTTTTTTTTTTTTTCACAATGTTGAAATTGTTTTTTCCTTTTTTCCATATGATTTTTAGAATGGAAGTAAATAAATTTCATTTTGTTTCTATATAATTATTTATGCTATACTATTTACATTTACCAGTTCGAAATTCTAACTTATATCACCTGAAACATTGTAAATATTACAATAAAGATTAGGACAACAGTCCAAAAAATGTAAATAGTGTAAATAGAAATTTATGAGTTCATTTTTATTAGTTGATATATGATGAATACTTAGTTTTAGATCAATGTCAGTACAGTGTAAAATGATATCTAGGAAAGGTAAAGTGTTATTTATTTCTGTTTTGTAAATGAATTCTATCATGTTCGATTTTGTTTAGTTTATCTACAGGATCAGGTAATGTAGTTTTGCAGGGTTATATTAATAGAGCATCATCAATATATCAGAAATATGTTGATTGTTTAGGTAAAATACACAGTAAAAGACCAGATGCAAGAAATTTGAAGAAAATACATGCTAAAACCCTACTTGGAGGCGAACCTATTGTTAATTGATGATGAACTGGCAGATTTATTTGATTTTTAGCTATTGGTAGGAAGAGGTTTACTTTTTATTATGTTAGATGCTTTTTTTCATTGAAAGTCAACTAATAAAAATGATCTCATAAATTTCTATTCTGACCATAATAAAATCCAAAAGAATTATTGGATTCTAGTTAAGAGCACTCAGAATTTGTAGTCTTCAGTATTTATATGAAGGGGAGAAATACATTGAAAATACTTTTAAACTCCTTTAATACCCTAATTATTTCATATTCAACCCGAAACCTAAAGGATCGTAAATTATTTAAAAATAGAAGGCAAAGTCAACAAATCAAAATTCTACCTACCAACTCTAACACAACTACAATTAGATAGAATTTACCTAAGCTTAACATAAAAATTGTTAGAACTACTTCTATAACAATAAAAGAATTAATACAAAACAAAATAATAAGCTAAAACTTGGAGGAATTTGCTCTATTACCTGTAATAATTGCCACAAGGAATATATAGGAGAAACTTCAAGGAATTTAAATAAAAGATTATATGAACACAAGTGTCCTTTATAAAACAACCCATTCAATGCATAAGTTGTTCATTTTAATGATTGACCATAATTTTGATTTAAGAGAAAGCCATTTACACAGATGAAAATATATAAAAATTGCTTTAATCTGTAGATCATCCATAGTAAATTTGTGTCCAGCTTCTGGCAACATTTCACCTTTCTTGGTAGTTTTTTTTAAACAAAATTACAAAGAAACTAAATGAGATTGGCTAGATTATATACCCAAGCACATATTATAATAGAAAAATTTAATTTAAAAATTTTTTTAGCATCCCCTCTCTTTTGTGTGCATATCTAGTTCCATCAATGTAAACATCACTTTAGTCTGCTGGACTAATGGACAAAGCACATCATAAAAAAAAAAATTCTATTTTGTCCTTTATTTTCTTAACATATATAATAAATGATAGTTTTAAGGTATGCAATATTTATAAGGTAAAAGTGGTCAACATCCAGGATAGTGCATGTAAATATAAATATAAACAGGTCAACAACAAATGGAGACAGTCTGTTTCACACTTGAATGCAATTTTTAGGTCATCATCAAGGTCTGAAGATAGTATTCAGTGTTGAACTCTGTGTCCACACTGTTTATATGACAAAGCTATATTGAAGACCTTCTCCCTGTCTGCTCAAGGTATTTTACTAAACCGTTTTCATGGATTCTTCTCATGGTATTTTCTTGGTTTCACTGTTATTTGTAAAACCCTTGCATGCAAAAATGTTACTAATGTGCACTTCTGAGAAAAAGACCAAGTTGTATTTTGGTAGAAATGTAATATAAAAAAGACAAAGGAATGACTTTAAACAAACCAAAATAAATGGTCTGTTTCAGTTGGCCTATTTTCAGATAATAAAAAAAAAAAAAGATTTATTGTATTTAATTTTACATTTATTTTAATATTTCTGTTCTATAAACACTGAATTCTTTCTTGTTAGTCACTCCTAACAAAAAAAAACACCTATTGGGGATTTTTTTTTTTTTTACTGCATGACAGATTCACAGAATCTATAATAGTAAATAGTTTTCTGTTTTAATTTGTTCTATTTTTGCTTCGTTTCAGGTGTGTTTCCAGGAAGGCACCATCACACTATTGGTTCAGGAAGAGTATGACATGCAGATCATGGTGGAAAGTACACCCATAAAGACCTGCCTCGAGACTAAATGGCCATTTATGGAGATCGCTTGGAAAGCCAACATAACTCCATCATTGAACTAAATAAACTCCATCACTTTGTCTTGTATATGTTTGAATGAGCTGGTGCATACTATTACACAGGGTATATAACTGGTGTATACATGCAGGCTGTGTGATCATCCAATCCTGCTTGTTTTGAAGACCCCGCCTATCCTTTGCTTGAGACTACTTTGGTGATTTGCGGGGGGAGTTTCTCCATGGGTCACAGCTCCCAGCATTTGAGCACTGGCCCTTAGTCTTCTGTCGTGAATGTTCATTGTCATTCATGGTTGATTGCCCTGTTTTTGCACGGGGTCAGTGAAAGCTGTACAGAATGCATCTCTGTCTGTCTGGAACTGACGATGACCACTCAGTGGTTGGTCTTCAGGCCATTTATCTGTGTGTCACTCTGTCAATGTGTTTACACACCAACTCTCTCTCACACATCCATAAATAAAACCCCTACACACTTACAGAAATGACTATTGGTTCTTCTCCTTCATCTGTGACATAAACACACACGCATACACACACTGATTGCTTGTCTGCCATCTGGTTGTCCTTGAACAGATTATTGTTACTTTCGGTCAGTACCTGCTGCCTGCCGTTTCATCTGTAATACAGTAACCTTTGGTCTCTGTCTTCATATTCCACCATGTCTACTACATTTTAACCCATTGTAACCAAGAGTGCACAATTTAAGACAGAATAATTAATATTTATTGTAATGGACATAATGTAAATAATACTATCTCTCTTGGATCACACCTGATGTAATATTTCAAATTGGATCAGATGAGATCTTAAGGGGTTTTATACATACAAGTACAATGGGTTAACAAGCATATGATGAATTTAGTTATCAATCAATCTGCATTTTCCACACACCTACACATACACACAAATGACCAGTTATTTACCCTATTGTATAGTCTCTCTATACAATACATACAATCATTGTTAATTTATTTGGTCCGCCATCTTTCAGTTATTTCTCTGATATGTTGCTATCTTTATTCATTCATGAGTCAATAAACGCCTACACTTCATTTGCTGTTTTACAGCCTCTTGGATATTTTATAAACCCATATGGGTATATCCATACCAAGCCACAGAACCAAAATCTAATTGGTCTACAATTGTTTTATCTACAGTTTAAATTTGTAATTCCTCCCATTGTACCAACATGCTTATGTAGATATATTTTCCTGTCATGTTTTATACTTTCAACTTTTCCCTAAATAATGCCAGATTTATTCTTTTCTTTTTCTTTTATCCTTTTCTCTATGATGCATAGATTTTTGTTTTCTCAAATTTATTCACAAATAAATGAATGGCAGGGAATGCATTTGTTAATTCCGCTTCAAATATGACCAAGTCGAATATTAAAATTATGATTACCTCCCTTAGCATAAAAGAAACCCTTTTTAAATTAACTGGAACAAAAACGTATAAAACAAAGCCGTAAAAATAAAATAATTATTTAAGAAATCGTTCAGAATATCTATGCATCATAGCAAAAAATATTTATTTACTTATTTTGAATAAACCTATTTCTATATCATGTAACTGGTATTTTTTAAGATAAAAAAATGGAGCACCACAAATAAAATATATCTACATTGGTAAAAGGGTTGCTCAGTACAAATTCAGAGGTACTTCAAAATTCAATATTTAAATTTGCTTAAAAATGTAGGTTTTGAGATGTTTGTTTATTTTTTTATTTATTTTCATGCATTAGTTTAATATAAAGAATAGATTAGCTGAATTTATGCAAATTTTTTAGATGGAGTATTACTTTTTCTTTTTTGATCGTTTCATTTGTTTTTTTTTTTTTTTTTTTTTTACATTCTACCACTATTAAGCAAGCAGCTTGGACTGAAACAAAGAATTAACCCCTAATGAGACGTTGTATCCTTGGGGCTGTCTCTATTATTATATCTACTTCTCAGTATAAACAAACAATATGGCATGGAGTAAATAAAATAAGGAACATTGTAGTTACATGACCAAATGTACATGTTCATTACATTCTGTAGCCTAATGTGTAAGGCATTGTTCATGTTAGACAGGCTCCCAAAGATTATATTCAAATTTTGGAAGCTACATGTTTTCTGTTCTATGCTGTTGACAGTCGTACAATGTGAAAAAAAAGTTGAATTTTTTTTTTTTTTCTTCAATAAAAATGCAACTAAAATAAGATGAATTGAAAACTATTAATTTTCATGTGTGTAAAAAAAAAAAAGTATCCAACAAAAAAATGACATATTTCCAAAAGAACAAGTCCTAGAAACATTTGCATTCGCTTAACCCTCCATTAATACTGTAGGTCATCGTCACAGCATTAGTACGATGGGGTTTTCATACACCCCTTTTAAAATATAAATATATCATTTACTTCTTAATTTTCTTGTTATATGTTCTTTCTTGTTTTATAGGATAAAAAAAGAAAAAAATTTTTTAAAAATTAAGAGGCATTTTAAAAATGCATTTGTAAGCTTCAAAAATTAGAACACAGGCATCCCTCAATTAATGCGCATTAGATTAATGCATTTTCTACTAGTGTGCTAAAATTTTTGTATACCAAAATTCAATAGTGCATGCATAATACTCAATTAGTGTGGTAAAACATTCTTCAGTTTAACTATAGTAATTAAAAATTGACATTTTTATAGTTACCAATGTATACATTAGCCACACTAATTGAGGGGTTCCTGTATGCAAAAATAGGTTTCATTTTATTTTCAGTATGATTTTTTTAAAACTAATTTATGATGAGTCTGACTAATTGTTTTTTTGTTCACATTCCAAACCATGTACAAGAAAGTTGTTGTAATCTTTACCGATGTTTCTTCTACAATTATTACAGCCCTTACTTTATAGTCATGTATTTGTAATTCAGACAAATATTATGACTAAAACCAGAAACATATTGTATTTACTCAAAAGAAGTATTCAAAAAGCTATTTGACTAATCATGAATATTTGACTTAACAAAGTCATTACTTTATGGTCATGTGTTTGAAATTCACACAAATATTACAATTAAAATCAGAAACTCCTTATAGTTACTTGACAGAGGTATTCATGAAAATTTAACTTGATAAAAATTAAAAAAAAAAAAAAAATGATTTGCATGTTCAAACATCCTACGGTACTAATAGAGGGTTAATAGTCACTAAATTTTTAATACTACATAAATGCATACATTGATTCTTTTGGTTTATACATTAATTCTTCTATTTCCACATTCTCTCTCTGTTTCATGAAAACAAATTTGTTACTTGATATAAATCTTAAAGAATTGTTCATCCTCAAGTATTTAGCTTTGTCTTCATAGTCCACACTACAAAACTTATTCATTTGTAATCATTGTCTTTAGATTTTTTTTTTTTTTTTTTATCAACAGTGATTACTTTAAACTTTTTTTTTTGTGCAGGAGGATATCCAACTGCATTTGACACAGATCAACCACCCTTTTGCTAACGATTGCTGTATGATTTCAGCAGACACCCACAATTCTAAACAAACAGTTCAGCTCCCCACCCTTGAAAATGTATCCCTCCCCAACAATGCTCCTTTCCTATTCTGTTCTGTAAAAAGAAAAAAAAAAGATGAATTATTGAAGAAAAAGGGGATAATAAACTAAATTTTGCATTAATATGAAACTTAATTACAGCCTTTTCAGTTCAGAAAATAAACTTTGATAAACCAGTCATTCATAGTTAATGAACCTGTTTGCCTAGAATGTGCTGTTCATTAAAATTTAAACAGAATGTATTTTTGTTTGACTGGAACCAACAATGACTACCAGTTAGTGATTGACTTGGTTGTTGAATCATTTATCTGCGTTTCAATCTGCCAATATTTTTACATGTCAGCCTTCATCCATAAAAACCCAAACACTTACAAAAATGAATTCTGGTTTATCTCCATAATCATAAACATATCTTACCCATTTTGTCATTCATCTCTGTGCAAACTGATTGTCAAACCTGTCATGGACTGAAAGCCAAAATTTTAATCTGCAAAATTCCCATAGTAAATTCAGTAATCTCTCATCATACTAATTAGTTGTATGAAACTATGGTCGCAAATGGAATGTGCTGATATTAAAAATTAATTTGTTTAGTGATTCTTCTTTTTTTCATTATCTTTTTTTTTTTTTTTTTCTTTTCTTTTGGTCAAGATTGCAAGCATGATCTAAAGAGTTTTTAATACAAATGGACAAGTAAAACAAAGTAAATGGATTTGAAATAAAATTTATTTTTAATTAAGTTATTTTAAAATTGAAATTTGCAACGAAAAACTTTTCTGTCCACTTGGGATCATCTATCTGCAAAAATGTATTGCGCATTAATTCTGCAAGGAGATAGCTTCATTCATTTATTTTATTCCAGTTCATCTGTGATTTTAAAAAAAAAAAAAAAAAAAAAATACTTGCAACCTTTCTTATATTCTTTGTTAAAAACAGTAAAATACATTCTATGTCAATGTATTCATTATTGTCACATTCTATTTGGGGTCTTTTTTTTTTTTTTTTTTCTTACAGCAAGTACCTAACTTTCTAATCCATGGTTGGAAATTACTTGGCAGCTGTATAAAATCTTTTTTTTTTTTTTTTTTTTTTTTTTTTTTTAACTTTTACCAAATCAGAAGAAACAAGGAAATATTTAACATTTATCTATTGTCCAGAAAGAAGTTAAGAGCTTAAATAGAAAAATTGACACAATCCAATCAAATATTTACTGTTACTATCTCTGTCCCATAATGTTGTTACATTTATTAGATGAAATTGTGTATGCACATGTCACAACTATTATAGGACAGAAATCATTAATTTTACTAAATTAGGTAATTTAAGTCTTTCTGCAATTGGCAATGTCCGTCACCTCTCTTTATCTATATTACTCTTCTAGTCAACCAATATTCAGTAATGTGTCCTTCCTTGCCTAC